CGTGCGTGTGTGTGTGTGTGTGTGTGTGTGTGTGTTTTTTTTTTTTTTTTTGGGGGGGGGGGGGTTGTTTCGGTTTGCAGGCTTCTGCTGGAAATGTGGTGCCAGTAGCAGGTTTGGTCTTTGAGGTCCATCTTGGCAAAACCTCAATCTTGGGATGTTCCCCCTTATACTTACTAGGGATTCTCGTGCCCCTATTATATTCCCTAATAAGGACTGTTAGTATAAGTACTAGGGATTCTAGTGCCCCTATTATATTCCCTAATAAGGACTGTTAGTATAAGTACTAGGGATTCTAGTGCCCCTATTATATTCCCTAATAAGGACTGTTAGTATAAGGGGTGGGCACATCCCAACCTCAATCCCTTCTCGGAGTCTCGGTTGTCGCCCCATTCGGGCGCCCTAAGAATGGCGCAGAGGACCGTGCCCAAAAAACACGCCTCACCGCCCGAGACACACACGCACAGAGAAATACCGTGCCCACGCACGCACACACACACACACACACACACACAAAAACAAAATAGAGAAAACACAATGACACAACAACTCTCCACCATCACAAAGCCCTAAGGCGCTCAACATATCCAAGAGTTCGTCACCCTAAAACCTAAACCCTAAATCTTTAAACCCTAAACCCTAAACCATAAACCCTAAACCCTTAAGTCATCCCAAAACCCAAACCCTAAGCCCTAAACCCTATACTCTCAAAGAAAGGCGGCCTGCCGATGGCTTCGGGCCAATGAGCTCCCTGACATCATCTGAACGCACTTTGAATTCTGAGAGTTTAGGGGTATACAGGGTACAGAGGGTATAGAGGGTATAGAGGGTATAGAGGGTATAGAGGGTCGCTGGGTATAGAGGGAAAAGAGGGTAGAGAGGGTAATGTAGGGTATATGAGGTATGTAGGGCATAGAGGATGAAAAAGGGTCAAAAAGGTGTGTTTGTTTGCTGCAAAGGCCCCCCCCCCCCCCCCCCCCCCCCCAAGTTCTGATCTAGTTGCGCGTGCTGCACAGCCCAGCCACACCTCAAGAACCCGACAGGGTTTAGGGTTTAGGGTTTAGGGTTTAGGGTTTAGGGTTTAGGGTTTAGGGTTCAGGGTTTAGGGTTTTAGGGTTTAGGGTTTAGGGAATTTTGGCCCCTTCCAAATTGCCGTTGCCCTCCCCCCCCCCCCCCCCCCCCTCTCTGCATGCAAACCCAAAATTCCCTTTCAACAGGCCCCTGCACCTTGCTTGGTGGCGTGCTAAATAACCAGCGTCCCCTTATCAAATCTTCTGAGCCCTTGGCACGGACCCAAACGGCTGCCCAGTAAACCCTCAACCCTATATTATTGACCCCAACTCTTGAAACCCTCTCAAAAGGATGTCTTGGGAATCCTGGCTCCCAGACGTCACGAAGTGCTTCCCGGGCTTTGGGTTTCCGTGGCAGCACCTTAGACGGTTATAGATACCTTAGGACTTCTTACGGTTGTTAAGCATGCTTTTGTGTGGGGTATTTCTGGCTTCTTCGGGTTTCTTTGGGCCACCAGGTCTGTTCTAGGGCGTATGGGCCTATGGTTAGTTTGGTTGGATAGCCTGCGTGCGTAGGGTTCTTCTGTCCCGTGGGCTTTCTTGAGGAAGTCGGCAGGTAGCCAGGTAGCTGTACAGCGTACAAAGCTCTTAATTTTCCTTGGGTGGTTGGGGCGGCCCAGGACTGTTCCTTAGCCTCCTCCCTGTTTGGCTACTAATGCAACAGGCCCCAGAGAAGTAAGAACCTGGCAGTGGATCATGTGTTTAACTGGTCCACCATGGCAAAGATGACGAATCCGAGCCCACATGGTTCTTTTCGTTTTGGGTAAGCCTTCTCCGTGCGGTTGCTGAAAATGGAGTCTTGACATCCGTCTCGGCTGTTCAGTGTTCTTTGCAGCAGAGAGTAAACCCAGGCCTGCGCAGGCACCCAATCCAGCCTGCCATGGCCACACTTGGAACAACCGTTGAACCAGGAGTTTAGGGTTTAGGGTTTAGGGTTTAGGGCTTAGGGCTTAGGGCTTAGGGTTTAGGGTTTAGGGTTTAGGGTACTACCCAAGCTGGAGCTGATACACCTAAGATTAGGGTTTAGGGGAAGCTAAACCCAACGCTTCGGGTTAGGCGCGTCCGAAGCACTGAAATCCAGAGCCTCGTGTGGTAAGTGTTGGTTCCTTTCTTTCCCAGGCTTCCTGTAGGAACCCCCGAATTCTAGCGTAGGGTTCAGGGTTTAGGGTGCTCAGCCATTATAACCTTGAAGGCAAATGGCTGGGGCATACTTACAGTTACCAGCTGCAATAGCAGCTAAGGAGGACTTCGGGGCGGGGCAGTTAACCTTTAACCTTTCTGGTTGCATGTAGTCCTATTACAAGTAACATGTTCGCCTTTTCTGGGTAGGGGTATTCAGCCCCTAAGAGGAGGCCTCAAGTGGAAGCAATGAATGAGGCTCTACAACACAAAGTCTGAGCAGTTTGCGGAATCTCGCGAGGTGCTTTGGGGCTTAGGTTGCGAGGGTTTAAGCCCTAAACCCTAAACCCCAAACCCCAACCCTAAAGCCTAAACCCTAAACCTGAAGCCCAAACCCTTAGCCTCAAGACTCAAAGTTTGAGTGCCCAGGCCTTGAGAAACCTAGCCTCATACCCACCCTCCATACCCTAATTCACCTTTCAGCTCCCTTTCCTGTGTGAATAGGACCCCCAGCGACAACCCTAAACCCTAAGCCCTAAACCCTAAACCCTAAACCCTCTACCCTAAACTCTTTAAATCCCTTGTTCGGGTTACCTGAAGAGCCCTAGGTGCCTTATTTAAAAACATCGCACCTTTGCGCTTGGAGGGTAGGAGCTGCTACAAAAGGTGCCAAGGGACCCGCCCTTCTACTCACACACACAGACACACACAGACACACACAGACACACACACACACACACTCACACACACAGACACACACACACACACACAGACACAGACACAGACACAGACACAGACACAGGCACAGGCACAGGCACAGACACAGACACAGACACAGACACAGACACAGACACAGACACAGACACACACACACACACACACACTCTGAACCCGCGCCCGGTGCCAACAATGCCAATCTAGATGGTTGCGTATCTTCTTGTCTTTGCAACTGACTGCAAGCATCCTTAGTCATAATGACACAAGACTAGGCCTGGTTGGAGAAGAAGTAGAGATAACCGCCCGAGTGAACAGGGTTGCCCACACGCAGTAAGCTCCTGCACCCTGAACGGTGGGAGGGGTTTTTTGTGGTAGGGCTGAGCTCGGGGTTCTGGCCAGGGTTGTTTTTACAGGTTGTCGAGCAGTGTTTCGTTAGGGTTTGTAGCGGTTTTCGGGGCCTTTGGTGGCTTCAGGGATAGGGTTTAGGGTCTAGGGTTTAGGGTTTAGGGTTTAGGGCTTAGGGCTTAGGGCTTCAGGGCCTTGCTCTTCAGGGGTTCTGAGATGGGGACAGCGCGCCAGGATCCGACGCACATCGAGTGCCGCTCTTGCATCTCCGGCAGGCGGACGTCTTTGTGTATAGGGCTTCGGGCGGTTTTTTAGGCTGGTGGGGAAAGTTCCGGTTTAGGGGTTAGGCTTAGTCATGGGGTTTAGGGTTGATAGAGCTTCGAGGGTTAGGTTCAGGTTTAGGGTTTACAGGGTTTCGGGTTTGCTTGCATTCGCGCCTGGGCCACCCCCCCCCCCCCATCGCAACTATACGTAGAATGTTGTAAGCAGAGTTTGACCCCGAACTTGCTCGCAAATTGTTTACTGTGTTTGCGCTACCTATTCGAGCCCTCTTGGAACCTTTGCCCATCGCTTCACGGTGAAGCTTTACAGTCCGGTTGAGCCGTGATCAGCCGTTTTCGGCTGATGCCACTGTCAGCGCGTGAGCTCGCCTGAATTCCAAGAATAACTCAACATGCCCAAACTGACTTAGCCAATAGTTGAACTTTAAACTTTTTGGGTTTCCTTATTTAGTAGGAACAAGAAAGTTTAACCTTTTTTCCCCTTGGTTATTGGAGAAGTAAGCAAACCCAGACCCCTCAACCTATAAACAGGGGAATACAAGGAAGGACTTTACCATGCGCCTTAGTTTTTTTGAGGGGCATGCCCCACTGGCTCCTACTGAAGCATCCACTTCATTACTAGTAGACTCAATGGACCTTCAACCCCAAAGTACCTAAAGTCCTCATCCTCACTCGACCCCAAACCCGCAGCCTACAGACTGTAGGGCCCATAGGGTTTATGGGTTAGGGGCTTTAGGGTTTGGGTTTAGGGTTTAGGGTTTAGGGTTTAGGGTTTAGGGTTTTAGGTTTGGGGTTTGGGGTTTAGGGTTTAGGGTTTAGGGTTTAGGGTTTAGGGTTTAGGGTTTAGGGTTTAGGGTTTAGGTCCACCCGGTACAGGTACTCCTCGCGTGTGGACGACTCGACGCCTGGCCACCCTCAACACCTTTTGCTTTCTGGGTAAACCCTAAAGCCCCCAAGGTGGGAGGTTTCCGAAAATCACTGTAGCTTCTTGGATTCCTTATTCTCAGGGAATCCTAAACCCTAAGCCCTAAACCCTAAACTCTAAACCCTAAACCCGAAACCCTTAACCCTTTTCTTGTATGGGTTTGTGTTTTTTTGGGGGGCTCAGGTTTAAGAAGGGCACACGGGTTGCACACCCGCGAAACATACCCCGAAACATACCCCCGAAACATACCCCGTAACATACCCCCGAAATTGCAGGTAAAGTAGCTTATGATGCGGCGAAACATACCCGAAACATACCCCCGAAACATACCCCCGAAACATACCCCGAAACAGACCCGCGAAACATACCCCAACACGTGCCGCGCGCCTCCCCATTAAGATACAAACCCATATATATATATATTATAATATATATATATATATATATATATAAGTATATGTGGGAATCGTACTATGTGGGGTCTACTTGGTGGTTCCCTTATTTTTTGTCAACCCCCAGGTGAGCCTGGAGGCCTGCATCCCAAGAATGCTGGGTCGCTAGGGTTTAGGGTTTAGGGTTTAGGGTTTAGGGTTTAGGGTTTAGGGTTTAGGGTTTAGGGTTTAGGGATAGAAGGGGGGGGTGAGCGCTCTGCCAGGAAGGGCTTCACCTATCTGTGCAAGGTTTGCGAGGCTGGCACATTCCAGGCTGGCAAGACCCCGTGTTTCAGGGTTTCGGGTTTAGAGTTTGGGGTTTAGGGTGTAGGGTTCAGGGTCTACAGGGTTTAGGGTGTAGAGTTTAGGGTTTAGGGTTTAGGGTCTCGAATTTACTGGGCCCCTTGTATTGGTACATGTTTCATAAATTGAATTCTTCGTCGCTTCTCTGTGATGGGCCATAGACTTTGCGCTCTTAGCACCCTACAAGCTCTAATCCCCCAAAAGAGTGGCTTCGAAGATTATTTGAGTCTAGGGTCTCTAGGGGCTAATCCTGAAACCTAATAATTCGACATCTCAGACCCCCAAGCCTGCAGGGCATACAAGGGGATGTAAGGTCTTTCTTGGCCCATGTGGTAAATATGGGGTAATGTAAGGGGTCTGGGGAGTGTTAGGGGACGTTGGTTTACACCCTAAACCCTAAATCCCAAACCCTAAACCCTAAACCCTAAACCCTAAACCCTAAACCCTAAACCCTAAACCCTAAACCCTAAAACCCTAAACCCTAAACCCTAAACCGTGGCTAAGCATCTCGACCCCAAAAGCCAGGCCCACCACGGTGAAACGGTCTGCTCACAGTGCGAAGCTGGCTTTTTCACCTCAGTCCCTGGGCTCTCGGCCTGCGAGGCGTGCCAGCTAGGCAGCTGAGCTTCAAAAGATCCCTCCTAGACCCTAAACCCTTAGCCCTAAACCCTAAACCCTAAACCCTAAACCCTAAACCCCGAAGTGCTAGGATGGGTTTAAGCCGTACAGGGGCTTCCTAGAATGTTTTTGGGGTTTAGGGAGTCGGGTTTAGTTTAGGGTTCAGGAACACAGCGTGGGGCTGGCGCACTCGCGCTTGTCTCACGCCCCCACTCCCCCAAAGCCACCACCCCCCCCGTAACCCGAAACCCCAAAGCCTAAACTTTGATTCAGTGAGTGACCCGAGGCAATGGAGCGTTAAGCCCGTTAAGCCCGTTCAGCCCTGTGTTCCGCCATGTAGGACTGACTTAGCCAATAGTTGAACTTTAAACTTTTTGGGTTTCCTTATTTAGTAGGAACAAGAAAGTTTAACCTTTTTTCCCCTTGGTTATTGGAGAAGTAAGAGGATTGCAAAGCAAAGTGGAGGGTTTAGGGTCTATTTAGGGTTTTGGGTTTGTCACGGATTTTAGCTTGGACCCCCAATGGTTGGACCCTTGGGTTTGGGGACCCTTTTTTTGAGATCCCGTGAGGGAATAATCCTCTCCCGGTTTAGGGTTTAGGGTTTAGGGTTTAGGGTTTAGGGTTTAGGGTTTAGGGCATGCCTAGGAAGCTTCGCCAACGCCTCCGGCATGACCAAGTGCCAGCCCTGTGGAAGCAGCGAGCAGTGGACCACCAGCCACTAGGTCGAACCTTGGGAACCCTAAACCCTAAACCCTAAACCCTAAACCCTAAACCCTAAACCCTAAACCCTAAACGGTTCAAGAGGATGACATTTAGGAATAATTTTCAGAGGGTTTTCAGGGCCATCCGAGGCCAACTCTTGACGATCCATGGCGAGCAGCGCTGGATTGAGGCGATCTCTTCCCGGCCTTTAGGGTTTAGGGTTTAGGGTTTAGGGTTTAGGGTTTAGGGTTTAGGGTTTAGGGTTTAGGGTTTAGGGTTTAGGGTTTAGGGTTTAGGGTTTAGGGTTTAGGGTTTAGGGTTTAGGGTGGTGTAGGGTGTGGGTGTGGGGGTTTCATCATGGGTTGCCCTCCTACCCCCCTCTATACTACTAAGCACGCAAGCCCCCGTTCTTTCAATTAAGCGGAGATTCAAAAAATTCGAAAAGTCAAAAAGTCGAAAAGTCGAAAAGTTTTCGACTTCTTGACTTTTCGACTTTTCGGGACTTTTCGGGACTTTTCGGGTTTTCGACTTTTCGGACTCCCCCCCCCCCCCCGTCCCCCCAACAAAAAAACAAAAAGTCGAAAAGCCAAAAAGTCGAAAAGTGGAAAAGCAAAAAAAAGGAAACTCGTAAAAGTCGGTAAAGCCCAGATAAGTCGAGAACTTGCGAAAAGCGTCTGGTAGACGAAACGTGAACGAGGGGAGGAGGGGTGTGGACTGGATGCCTAAAGTGAGCAGCATGCAGCGGCTTGTGGTTGAGGATATTAGAAGAAGCCTTGTCTGGTTTAGGGTCGAGCCCTATAGGCTTTCAACCTTACGACCTGACACTTTCAAGCCCCCGTCCTCAACTCTATAAACCAGACAAGGCTTCTTCTTATATCCTCAACCACAAGCCGCTGCATGCTGCTCGCTTTAGGCATCCAGTCACCCCCTCCTCCCCTCGTTCACGTTTCGACTTTCAGACGCTTTTCCCAAGTTCTCGACTTATCTAGGCTTTACCGACTTTTACGAGTTTCCTTTTTTGCTTTTCCACTTTTCGACTCTTTGACTTTTCGACTTTTCGGGACTTTTCGGGACTTTTCGACTTTTTTTCGGACTTTTCGCGTGAAGCTCTTGTCCAAATCCACTTTTCGACTTTTCGACTTGTCGACTTTTGGGGTTTCTTTGTCCGTACTCACTTGCGCCCGCGGACAGCCGTTCGCAATCACAGGCTTTACTACACCCCCCCCCCCCCAGGTTCCCCCCAATAATAGCGGCTTTTAGGGAGAATGAAGGGTTGCTTAAGGGGGGCACCTAGAGGGGGGGGGGGGGTATAGAGGGGGGTATATTTTTTTTCGGAAACCCTGATTTTCAGGGTCAGGTCCAGTTCGGCAGCAGCAGAGGCCTCAGGATCAAGGAAAGCTTCAATAGGCGCATTCCTAGCGGGGGTTTCGAATTTAGGGATTGTAGGGTTTAGGGTTTAGGGTTTAGGGTTTAGGGTTTAGGGTTTAGGGTTTAGGGTTTAGGGTTTAGGGTTTAGGGTTTAATTCCTAGGTAGGGTGGGTATACAGCGGAAGGTTTATGGTTTATAGGGTTTAGGGTACAAGAGCCCCGCAATCTCAAACTTAAAAAGGGGTGCAGGAGGTCTCTACAAGAGGTATATTTACATGCGCATTTCCCAGAAAAGTGGTACACTTTGTTGCTCGACCATAACCATGGAAGATGGTCTCTTGGGCCACAGAAGGAGGTCCACCATGTTGGGACATACCCATGTGAGGGGACTGCCTTAACTTGTCCCTAAACCCCAAACCCTAAACCCTAAACCCTAAACCCCAAAGCCAAACACTAAACGCCAGCAGGTGCAGGCAGCAAGCAATGAGAGCTTGTGCCACTGTGCGCCGGGCTGGTTTCTCGATGATGGAGTTTGTCGCCTGTGCTCCGAAGGACCGGGGTCGTGTGGGGTTTAGGGTTTAGGGTTTAGGGTTTAGGGTTTAGGGTTTAGGGTTTAGGGTTTAGGGTTTAGGGTTTACTAAACCCCATATAGACCCAATAAATCCTAAAAACCCAAGCCCTAAAACCCTAAAACCCTCAAAGCCTGCTTCATGAAAATAGACAACAGACTTGTTCATGTCAACAGTACATATATATGGTCAGCCCCCCCCCCATGATCCACACCTATGGTTTTCCTGTCTTCGTCTTTGTCTGATTTTCTGTTTTTTCACCGGAAAAATGCAGTAAAAACTGCACTGGAATACAAAAAGCTCCATTATATTATCCTCTATAAAAACACTAGTGTTTTTTGTGTGCATTTTGCTTCTGAAACTTGTGTTTTGCGGCCCTATAAAATTTTAGAAGGGTAGCCATTTCGAAGCTTAAGGCTTTTCAGGGTTTTAGGTTTTAGGGGTTTGTAAAAATTTAGATGATCTGTGGAAGGCACCGGGGCTTCCCCAGACCATTTGCAATTTTAAAGATCCTTAAAAGGGGCAGCCCTTTTCAAATTTGAAGGGCTTTAAGGTATCTAAAGCCTTTCAAAATTTTCAAGATTTAAAGGATCTTAAAAGGCTTTAAAGCCCTTAACAACCTCGAAACGTTTATCCCTTAAAAGCCTAAAATTCTTTAAAATTTAAAACGGGCAGCCGTTTAAAATTAAGGAAGTTACGGATTTTAGAACTGAACATCCAAAAATCTTTAAACTTTAAAAGGACAGCCATTTACAACTGCAAGAATTTCAGGGCTTTACGGATTTTAAAAATTTTATATTGTCTGGGGAAGGCACCGGGGCTTCTCCAGACCATTGGCAACTTCAACAATCTCTAAAATCCGCAAAGGGCAGCCACTTAAATACGTAAGCAACTTAAGGTCTTTAAAAGGCTTAAACGGCTTAAAACCTTCATAATCCTGAGAATGCTTAAACAGAAGCTTATAGATTTTTATAAGAGTTTTAGGAATTTTAATGTTTAGGTGGGTCTGGGGAAGCCCCAGTGCCTTCCCCAGATCATGTAAACTTGCAAAAACCCTCAAACCCCTTAACCCTAAAACCCAACCCCGAAACCCTTAGCTCTAAACCCTAAACACTCAGCACCAGACCCTAAACACTAACCCAAAAACTTAACACTAAGCCCTTAGCACAAACCCCAAGCACTTAACATGAAACAATAAACACTTAAGCACTAGACGCTAAACACGAAACCCTAAACACTCAAACACTACACCCTAAAAACTAAACCCTGAACATTACACACTAAACCCTACACACTAAACCCTGAACACTAGTAAACATCCTTAAAACCCTAAATCCAAAAACCAAACCCGAAACCCTTAACACTAAACCCTAAACACTCAGCACTAGACCCTAAATACTAACCCTAAAAACTTAACACTAGACCCACAAACCCCAAACACTTGACACGAAACCCTAAACACTTAAGCACTACTAAACCCTAAACACTCAGCACCAGACCCTAAACACTAACCCTAAAAACTTAACACTAAGCCTTTAGCACAAACCCCAAACACCTAACAGGAAACCCTAAACACCTAAGCACCCCTAAAAACCCTACCCTAAACATTACACACTAAACCCTACACACTAAACCCTTAACCCAAAAAAAACCGAAACCCTTAGCACTGAACCCTAAACACCAGCGTAAACACTAACCCTAAAAGCTTAACACTACGCCTTTAGCACGAACCCCAAACACTGAACACGAAACCCTAAACACTTAAGCACTAAACCCTTACTAAACACTAAACCCTAAACACTTAAACACTACACCCTACAAACTAAACCCTAACCATTACACACTAAACCCTACACACTAAACCCTAAAGCCTAAACAGCAGGATTTTTAAGTTGTCAATGGTCTGGGGCAGCCCCGGTGACTTCCCCAGATCATTTAAATTTGTAAAAATCCTTAAAACCCTTAACCTAAAACCCAAACCCGAAACCCTCAACACTAAACCCTAAACACTAACCCTAAAAACTTAACACTAAGCCCTTAGCACAAACCCCAAACACTTAGCACGAAACCCTAAACACTTAAGCACTTAACCCAAAAACTAAACCTTAAACATTTCAAACTAAACCCTAAACATTAGACACTAAACCCTAAACCCTAAACAGTAAACCCCAAGGCCAGAACCCCGAGCCCTACTAAATCTAAACCTGAAACCAAAAACCCGTCGGGGTTTCAGATGCTTACTGTTTGGATTTCAGAGTTTAGGGTTTTATTTGGGTTTTAGCCGAGCCACTTGACCCTAAACCCTAAAACCTAAACTTAACACTCAACCCTAAACACAAAACACTAAACCCTGAAACATACACACTAAACCCTAAACACTAGATTTCCAGAAAAAATCTGGAGTACCCGGGCCCCGGACTCCAGACTCCAGATTTCCAGAAAAAATCTGGAGTACCCGGGCCCCGGACTCCAGACTCCAGATTTCCAGAAAAAATCTGGAGTACCCGGGCCCCGGACTCCAGACTCCAGATTTCCAGAAAAAATCTGGAGTACCCGGGCCCCGGACTCCAGACTCCAGATTTCCAGAAAAAATCTGGAGTACCCGGGCCCCGGACTCCAGACTCCAGATTTCCAGAAAAAATCTGGAGTACCCGGGCCCCGGACTCCAGACTCCAGATTTCCAGAAAAAATCTGGAGTACCGGGGCCCCGGACTCCAGACTCCAGATTTCCAGAAAAAATCTGGAGTACCGGGGCCCCGGACTCCAGACTCCAGATTTCCAGAAAAAATCTGGAGTACCGGGGCCCCGGACTCCAGACTCCAGATTTCCAGAAAAAATCTGGAGTACTCGCGGCCCCAGACTCCAGATTACAGACTCCAGAATCTGGAGTCCAGAGTCCCGGTACTCCAGATTTTTTTTGGAAATCTGGAGTCTGGAGTCTGGAGGTACTCCAGATTTTTTCTGGAAATCTGGAGTCTGGAGTCTGGGGGTACTCCAGATTTTTTCTGGAAATCTGGAGTCTGGAGTCCGGGGCCCGGGTACTCCAGATTTTTTCTGGAAATCTGGAGTCTGGAGTCCCCCCCCCTCCCAAAACCCCCTTCCCGAGGCCAAATGTGTGGATCATGGGGGGGGGGGCGAGCATATATATATATATATATATATATATATGTATACCTATCTGCCTGATCCTTCTTTCTATGTCTATATCTATGGGCAAACAACACTTCACAGAAGACTGGGCTGAATTGCTGCGGTTGGTTGGAGCGCATCATCTTCTGCCGGTGGAAGGTTCGATAAACGGTTTAGGGTTTAGGGTTTAGGGTTTAGGGTTTAGGGTTTAGGGTTTAGGGTTTAGGGTTTAGGGTTTAGGGCACCTTTCAAGTCACCGTTCGAAAGTGCATCGCTGTCGGCCCCGTGTGGAAGCCTCCGGAACATCGCAAAAACTATGCGGAGTCGGGAGGCTCGAAGGTGGCTCACGATTTGTTCCATGCATTTTTAGCCTTCTTTCTGTGTCTGTGAATATTTGTTGCTCGTCGTCTTTTTTGGAATAAACCGCGTGCGTGGGGGCGGGGGTGGGGGGGGGGGTACGTGCGTCTTGCATCTTCATTTGAGCAATATCCTTGTAGATTTTCCTACACCTTTCACATTTGAATTTCAGAGATTTTTCTGGAAGCGTTAACTTGCTGTGGACATGTTGTACAGGTCAAAATGTGAATGTGTGTGTGTGTGTGTGTTTCTCGGTTTGGTTTACTCCACGGCTTGTTTATCTCTGTTTTCGCCGAAAACTAAGGGTTTCGCAGGGTTTTTCAGCACAGCTGTGTGTTTGTCCTTTTTCTGTGTGCCTCTTTGCATGCATTCATGGTAAGTGCGTATGTGTACAGGCATAAGAATGTACGGGGGGATTGTCGCGCACTGAAAAATTGGTAGCGTTGCGAGTTTCACCACTGCAGCCGAGGTTTCGCGAGCGTCGCATCGCCTTCTGTCGAACATAAAAACCTCTTTTTTTGGGTGAAACGTGGAAAAACGCATGGTTTCAGCACTTCCAGTCGCGTCAAGGACAAGTCGGGTCTGAATTTCGAGGGCTTTTGGCTGTGGAGTGCTTGTGTGTTTGTGTTTGGGTGCCGCGTTGATTCTTTGCAGCTTCCCTAAACCCTAAACCCTAAACCCTCAGCTTGCACAAAGAGGCTCAAAAAGAGGGAAGGCCGCTGTAACATATATAGGGGTCGGAGTAGTTACTTACATTATATTTCCTTTTTGGTCCGTCTGTTTAATATCCCCCCCCAAAACCCGATTCTAATTGTAAGGCCCCTATATTAGCAGTGTTCTGCTTGGTACGTTCCTTATGACGGGTGTTTGTCTTTATGCCTTCCTCTTGTTTTCTCTCTGTATTTATTGCTTCCTTCTGTTCCTTCTTGCTTCGGGTCTTTCTGGTGTTTGCTCCTTCTTCCTGTGCTGAATGATATTTCAATTTCTGCCGATCTGGTTATCTTTGCCATGTAATCTATTTCTTTATGTTTGCAATTGTTTCTGTACGTGTTGTCTTTCTGCCGTTCTTTTTTCTTTCTTTCTTTCTTTCTTTATTTAAAACGTTCGTTCTTTCTGTCGTTGAAGGTTAAGGTTTTAAAGTGAGCAAGAAGGAAGTAACCACCCCCCCTCACCCCCAAAGAACCCTGAAAACAAAACCTCGAAAACCCGGCAAAAAAGGTCCACGGGAAGCCTGCCGCATGCATAAACAGTTTTCTTTTTTCCGCTACATATATACATACACACATTGAAATGTCCTTAAGTTTTGTGTGAACCTGAATCAGGATGCTTGGTTCAAGCGCTTTCGGGGCACTCGCCGTGTAGCTTTACTAACCTCCAAATGAACCAAACCCTAAACCCTAAACCCTAAACCCTAAACCCTAAACCCTAATCCTTCATGCCATCGAAGGAGCAGTTTGCGCGGGCTCCAACGATGTGGAGCTTCTCCCAGGCTTCTACTCTAGCAGCGAGGACCCTGGATCCGTGTTTAAGTGTCATGGCGATGCCTCGCGATGCCCGGGCGGGCGTGCCTCGGATGTTCTGGAGGACCTGCTGGATGCTAGATTGCCGAAAAAGGCTGTAAGGACTCATGCTGTAGCGTCTCTTGGCCCTAAACCCCTTGCACCGTAAACCCTAAACCCTAAACCCTAAACCCTAATTCCTAAACCCTAAACCCTAAACCCTAAACCCTAAACCCTAAACCCTAAACCCTAAACCCTAAACCCTAAACCCTAGCCCTTTTGAGTCTATGGCGATTTAGGGCTTTTCAAATGGCTTTGGGGTTCCTTCAGTGCAGCCGAGGTCCCGGGACGTGCGCCTTCGGACGGGATCCCAGCAGCGTGACCTGCGGTGCATGCCTCTCAGGCGGACAGCCTGAAGGAAAGGCTTAAGGTTCAGGCGGCTACCCTACTTGAAGGTTTTGTGGGTACTTAGAAGGGGGGGTATAGGTAATCTGAATAAGGTTAGTTATAACCATAGTTGCCCTACTTATCAACCTACTTGTAAGTACCCGAATGAACCTCCAAGTAAGTACCTCACCGCCCCCACATGAAAGTACCCGTAGGCTCTTACTAGTTCAGTGTCAGTTATGCGGGGGGTGATGGCTCCCAAACTCTGACCTTCGAGACTAGAACCTCCTCTCCTGAGAAGCTTCTTCATCTGCCTCTCCTTGTAAAAAACACATACTCAGATAAATCAAAGTATATGTATTTATGTGTACATATGTGTGTGGGTTTAGGCCTTGGGGTTAGGGTTTTCGGGTCTTGGGGCGTAGGGGTTGCCCCCTTAGTTTTGGGGGGAGGTTTTCACCTCCAACACGCCGCCAGGGTCGGCGGAAACCCTAAAGCCTGAACCATTGAACCCCAGAACCTGGAACACCCTAAACCCTAAACTCTGAGCCGTCCTGGGTAGGCCTTGGGATATCTTATGTCCCAGTGTTGGGTCTAGGGTCTAGGGTCTGTGCTGTAGGGCTTAGGGCTTAGGATTTCGAATCAGGGTTGAGGGGGTTTAGGTTGTTGAAGAGGATCATATGCCAAGTATTTCTTGGGCCCCCGAGGTCTGCGGCCCAGTGGTGCCACCTGCAGCGCATGCAGTGGTGGTGACTACGCGATTTTTGCTCCTGGGCTGCGGCGGTGTAGCCGTAAATCCGATAAGCGCGAAGCGCCCGAGACCCTAGAAACCCTAGAAAGCCTCTGAACCCTAAAAGCCGTCTGCAGCTTTTATAAACCCTAAACACCTTCTGCACCCTATAAACCCCTAAGCCATGAACCCTCAACCCCAGGCCCTTAAACACCTCTAACCCCTAAAACCTGTCTGCACCAAGAGCACCCTAGACCCTCAACCCTAAGCCCTTAAACACCTATGAAACCCTGTGCCCTGATCTCTAAACCCTCAACCTCAACCCTAGGGTTTAGGGTTTAGGGTTTAGGGTTTAGGGTTTAGGGTTTAGGGTTTAGGGTTTAGGGTTTAGGGTTTAGGGTTTAGGTTTTAGGGTTTAGGGTTTAGGGTTTAGGGTTTAGGGTTTAGGGTTTAGGGTTTAGGGTTTAGGGAAAGCCCTGCGCGCTGCCATCCCGGAGGTTCTCGTGGGCTTTCTCGTCCTTGGCGGCACCGGGATGTACCACATGTCGGTGCTGAAGCAGAACCAAAGCATTGTGAACAAGCAGAGCCCCAGCGGCCCATGGAAAGGCTTACATGGAACCCGAAACCCTAAACTCTAAACCCTCAACCCTAAACCCTAGGAACCGCAATCTAAGGGTAGTTGCAGGGGCCCTTGCCTATTGTCCCGAAAAGAACCTCATTAGAGAGGTTCTGAAGTATGGGCCCTTGGTTCTTGATAGTCTTTCGGGTACATCAGGTGTGCATGAGGGCTCCCCTGAACCCGAAACCCTAAACCCTAAACCGTAAACCCTAAACCCTATACCCTATACCCTAAACCCTAAACCCTAGACCACGACCTTTTCCCTAACCACGGTTTCCCTCGGTCCGACCCGAAAGTCCTAGATGAATGGATGCCTTGGGTTTAGGGTTTTGGGTTTAGGGTTTAGGGTTTGCGGTCTACTAAACCATGAATCTAGGAATCCGAAACCTCACATCCTACGCCTGGCTGTGATTCGGGCTTCGGGTTTGGGGCTTCTACTGTGCCAAATAGTTCGGCCCACCATCTTCAAGAACTTGCCCCAAACCCTAAACCCTGAACCCTAAAACCCTAAAACCCCAAAACCCCAAAACCCTCAAAACCTGGCCTGGGTCTTAGGGCTTAAACCTGTAAAGTAGCCAACCATTGCAATAGAACTACCGGGCTTCCAAGCTTTGGCCTCGGCCCTGCCACTTGTCAGAATAAACCCTAAACCCTAAACCCTAAACCCTAAACCCTAAACCCTAAACCCTAAACCCTAAACCCCAAACCCTAAACCCTAAACCCTAAACCCGAGGAGTGGCTTACTCAACGCAAACCTCTATCTCACGCAGCTGGTGGTCTGCCTGCAGCTGGTCATCGTCATCCAGCCGCTTTCTTCTCAAAAACGGCCCAAGGTCTACTTGGAGATTTTTGGGTACGTACAAGTAGGGATGTAGGTACCCTAAAGAAGGTTATAAGCATGGTTACCCTGCTTCTAACTCTACTTATAAGTACCCATGAGCCTGCAAGTAGGGTTTTTTCGGCTTCCAAACGGAGCCCTAAAGCGACTAAAGCCCCAAACCCAAGGGGGGGTTAGGGTGGGTCTGGGTTTCGGGTTTCGGGTTTCGGGTTTCGGGTTAGGGGTGCAGGGTTTAGGGTTTAGGGTATTTGGGGCAGAAGCTCGGCCCTGTCGGAGCCCAAGGTGTTGAAGGGATTGCTAGGAGGTTCATGCTGATAACCGGGGTTGTGCGTTTCTCCGACAGCCAGGGATGAGGGTTTAGGGTTTAGGGCTTAGGGCTTTCGCCTAGAGTGAGGAAGATCGACATCACCTGGGATGAGCCTTTCGTGATGCTGATGCAGGCCTTGAGCTTCTTGTCACTGGACTCGGTGTTCCAGTCCGTGAACGCAACTCGGGCAACAATCTTCCTCAGCCTTCGGGATACTTGGAAGTGTTTTTTAAATTAACTTGTTGGGTGCTTTAGTTCAAAATTATACTTTTGCTAGGGTTCCAAGTTCAGTATAGCAGCGCCAAGGCTTAGACTCTGGGTTTTGCCCTCACGTAGGGGGCCTTGCTTTAGTCTGAATGGGCGTTTCAACCCTGAACCCTAAACCCTAAACGTGGTCCGGCGGTTCCTCTGGGCTCCATGTAGTCACAGATTACAGGGCATGTTCTTTCTGAGGGTTTGGGGGGTTTGGGAGTTTAGGTTTTGTTTGGGCTTTTGTTTATTGCTTGTGGGACTTATATATATATATATATATATATATATATATTTATTTGTTTGTTTATTTACATTTTATGTTATGTTTACATTTATATTTATTTAGTTATATATTATGTTTTTGTTTTTGGCGGGGGGGCGGGGGGGCGGTGGGGTTAAGGGTTGGGGGTTTTGAGGCTTGTGGCTTTTTTCAGACTTCAGGGTTCTTGGGGCTTGAGCTTTTAAAAGGTTTAGGTTTTTGGGTTTAGGGTTTAATTTGGTCTTCTAGGGTGTTTGGCTGTTAGGGCTTTTAGGGTTCAGCGTTTGGGTCTTTTGGGGTTTTTAAACTTGTCATTGCTTTTACCGTCTTAACGGCTGTTATCAGGGTTGAGTGGATTTTAGGCGTTTAAAGGTTTGGTGTTTTTTGAGGTTTGAGGGTGTCAGGTGTAGGGCTTTCGGTTGGTGTCAGGGGGTTTAGGATTCAGGGCTGACGGCTTTGGGGGCATGATCTTTAGGGTTTTCCGGGCGTTTTGAGTTTTAAGTTGGGATGTTCCCCCCTTATACTAACCGCCCTTGATAGGGATTATAGTATCCCCTGTTATAATCCCTATGCAAGGACTGTTAATATAAGGGGGAACATCCCAAGTTTTATGGCTTGAGGGGTTTAGGGTTTAGGGTTTAGGGTTTGGGGTTTAGGGGTTCAGGGTTTAGGGTTTGGGGTTTAGGGTTTAGGGGTTCAGGGTTTAGGGGCTCGGGCTCGGGGTTCTTGGTAGGGAATGAGGAAGCTAGGTACCCTTTTGTTTATCCTATCTTGGCAAAGAATTTACTACATGGATTACATAGGGTGCTGAAGTCCCATACGAACAACCAGAAGGCTTGGGGGTTTAGGGCTTAGATGGGCTTAGGAGTTAAGACTTCAACCTCGCCATTTGTCGGGTACCAAGTTGACCAAGGTCTTGTTGCCTAAGTATCGAGGGTACACATTGCATGGGGTGCTGTTGAAAGGTGTGCCCTAGTACCTCTCCCACTTCTCCCCTCCAGCTCCAAAGTTTTAGGTCCCAGCCTCAGCCACCCTAAACCCTAAAACGTAGACCCTAGACCCTAAACCCTAAACCCCCTGTTTCGTTTCGACCCGACACCTACGCACCCTAAACCCTCAACCTTCGTCTGAAGAGGCCTTGCCGACGTTCCACATGTTTAGGCTACCGCATGGATTACCGTCAAGCAAAACGCACGATTTCTAGCTGGGTTTTTTGGGGGGTGGGGGTGGGGGGGGGGGGTAATTACGTTCCTGCCAATGTTTCACCATGCTCGAAATGCGGGTTTAGGACTTTAGCTTTCGGCTTGAAGGCTTTGCAGTTAAAGTTTAGTGCTTTAGATTTTGGGCTTATGCTTTAAGACTTTAGGGTTTAGGGCTTTAAGACTTTAGGGTTTAGGGCTTTAAGACTTTAGGGTTTAGGGCTTTCGCTTTGGGATTTAGGGGTTACACTGGACTCTTTTCCATTCAGGGTTCGGCCAGGGAGCGCCGAACTGCCTGCAACCCCGGCCGAACCTTGAATGGAAAAGAGTCCAGTGTTAGGCTTTAGATTTGGGGTTTAGCCATATAATATAAGGCTTTAGGGTTTACGCTTTACCCTTCAGCACTTTACCTTTGGGGTTTAGCCGTTAAGACTTTAGCTTTGGGGCTTATAGCTTCGGATTTACGTATGACCAAGCATCCCACCGAGACATCCAATAATCCTAAGAATGCCAAAAATCCATAAAATTCCGCGTTTTTGAAAGCGCCTGCTTCTCGCCACAAGAACACGATTTCGCCCAACTCGTAATTTGACGCGCGTGACGTGCAAAAACTCGAGGTTTTTAGCAATTCCGTACAAACGGAGCATGTTTTTTTAGGTTCACAGGCCTTGAAAACAGTACCAAAAACCATGGGAAAAACATGTTTTTCAAAAACAGACGTGTAATTCTACGACGGAAAACCATGCGGCGGGATGTTTATGGTTCAGGGGTTTGGGGTTTGGGGTTTAGGGTTTAGGGTTTAGGGTTTAGGGTTTAGGGTTTAGGGTTTAGGGTTTAGGGTTTAGGGCCCCCTAAACCCTTTGGGGGCTCCCAGCTTCAACCGAGGCGATCTCCTGCGTCACGCGCCTCAGCTCCACCCTGCACTTCCTGATGCAGGCGCTGGCCGTGCCCACCATGTTCCTGGTGGCCCCCGTGGCGCCTTGCGTGCGGTTTAGGGTTTAGGGTTTAGGGTTTAGGGTTTAGGGTTTAGGGTTTAGGGTTTAGGGTTTAGGGTTTCGGGTTTCGGGTTTCGGGGGTTGAGGCTGTAGGGCTGTAGGGCTTCCAGCGTCAAAAGGGCCTAGAGCTTCAACCCTATTTTTACAGCCGTAGATCCACCCTGGATACCCTTGCACCCTGGTATCCTGGTCGTAGGGTTTCCAGTGTTTGCTGCCTGGTTGAGGTTCAGGGTTTAGGGTTCAGGGTTTACGGTTTAGGGTTTAGGGCACCCTGGCAGGGTTTCGAGTTTGAGGGTTGTTCAGGCGTTCAGGGCTGGAGGTAAGTCAAAAATTAGAGCATCAGCTTATCTTCGACAGAGCGCTGCGCCCGATCTGAACCCGTTTTGGGTCCTCCACTCCAGCTCGGGGATAGGCCCAGGGCATCAGAACATAACCCCCAAACTCAAAGCCTTAAACCCTAAGCCCTAAACCCTAAACCCTAAACCCTAAACTTCGACCCGAAGCTCTGTACCCCAAGCCCTCGTCCACTAGCCCCGCAGGTGTTTGTAGCTTTGAGCCGGCGTGGTGGGTTGAAGTGCTCAAAACAGAACCACTCCCCCCCAGCCGCATGTGGGTTTAGGGTTTAGGGTTTAGGGTTTAGGGTTCAGGGTTCAGGGTTCAGGGTTCAGGGTTCAGGGTTTTAGGGCTAGGGCTCTTGTTATGAACGCAGAGTCCAAAGCCCTAACGAAGCCCTGAACCGAGGTGATTCACTTCGCGGTCGTCCTGTTCCGGGGACGGGAAGGCTTGCAACTGCCCCTGGGTTGCTGCTCAGGAACTTAGATGGTGCTGCCATGATGGTGTTCAGGGCTTAGGGTTCTGTGGGAATGAGGGTAAGGGTTCAGGGCTAAGGGCTCTAGAGAAGATAGGGTCTAGGGTTTAGGAACTTAACTGAGCAGATGTCAGTCACACAATGTTGTCTGCTGCTGGTTTCTTCACAAATTAGAGTTCCTTAGCAGCAACCCCAGGCACTTCTTGTGCGAGACGCTTGGCTCACTCTCCGTGCTCTTCTTCATTGTGCTGTGCACGGCCGTTGTCGAGCCCTTCCAGTGCCAGAGTCACCCGAATGGCCTCTTCACCATGCAGTCCAGCTACCTGGATGATCTTGACAAGGGATGCTGCGAGCCGTATGAGAATCTGCCCCCATCCCTAAACCCTAAACCCTAAACCCTAAACCCAAAAAAAGAACAAAAGCTGCAACTTCCCTAAACTTTTCTAAACCCTACACCCCTAAAACCCCTAAACCCCGAGTGTTGCAACTCCTGCAACGAGCTCTCAGGCAAGATCACGCTCTGCAACTTCAGGGGAACACACTATGAGATGTGCCTCATGGGCGGCTTCCTTGGCCTCCTACCCATCAGCTTCCTGACCTTCTCTTCCTGGGTGGTCCTGTCAGAATCTTACTTTTTGCCAACTGCAGAGCTTTAACCTTTTTGGGGTTTCCTTACTTCGTAGGACTCGTACAAAGTGTAACCTTTTTGGGGTTCCTTACGAAAGTAAGGACTCGTAAAGTGTAAGCTCTCTTTCCTTGGTGGTTGGAGAAGTAAGGAATTTCCCAAGAGGCTCAGCGCGGTCGACGTAAGATTCACCCGAGCTTGTTCGTTTCTGGTCTTGCGCTTCCGCCCGGGCTTCGAGGCATTCTGTAGCTAGGATGCCTCAGCAGTGCCCTTGTTTCGTACGCCGACTCATTCCGTAAACCCTAAACCCTAACCCTAAACCCTAAACCCTAAACTTTGCAACCCCAGGTATTTTCACCTTGGCGCGGAACGCCCTGTTCGCTCTCGCCCCGATTCTGCCAGCACCCAATGCAAGCTTGCTCATCATTCATGCTCCTGGGCTGGGCTTTAGGGCTCATCGGGGTTTAGGGTATAGGGTTGGGGTTTAGGGGTGATTCTGCAGAAGTTGACAGACATTATGGCCCACTCCCCTTGCTTAATGTTCCTCCCTGGCACGACCTTCCATGAACCTTTGCCGATCCTAAGCAGCAAGGTTGTGACAGGACCATGCAGAACGAAGTTCTGCAAACCCTAAACTTGCCCTAAGCCAGGTTTCATGGTAGCCCAGTGCTGCCCCTTTCCCTTCTTGTGGTTCTAGGTTCCCCCTTATAAAAGCGGCCAACCCAAAAGTAAGAGAGTGCCCCTTATCATAAGATGGTTGCTGGGCTACCAAGGTGGGGCTTCACGAACATAGGGGAGCCCAAAAACAGACCCCCAAATAGTAGCATTCCCTTGCAGCAAGGACCCAAAGAAGGTACCCGCCCCCCCCCCCCCCCCCCCCCCCCCCCCCTCCAATTTCGGAAGCACCCAGGTGCTGATCTGCCTCAACATGCTCCTGGTCGCCTATTTCAAGCCTTGGCGCTCTGCCCTGGCATCCCAGAGTGACCTCTTGTCCAACGCCGCATCTCGGACCTAGACAAGGCCCTTTATTCGGTCTTTGT